TACCACCAGCATCCCAGCAACACACCCAGCTTCAGGATGGGAAAAGAGAATCTCCTCCAACATCTCTCATCTGCAAGAGGCTTGGACAGCACCTCTTACCAGAAGCCTTTTTAACGCTATTTAACACGGAATTGTTCAGTCATGTTCCCAGACTAACAATGTGTTCCTGCAAGTGGTTGTTTGGTTGGTTTTTTGGTTTTGGTTTTTTTTTTTTGAAACTCCTTTACAACAACCAAGTGAGCAAAACCCTGCACATGTCTTTGAAAGTGGATAATTGACTGCAACTGATATCATTAGTAATTGCCAGGGTAGAACTCCCTTTTAGTGGTGTTCTCTAACTTCTTAGAATCTCTGCTATCTAGATTTCATTTCCGTCATTTTATAACTGTAATTATTGACCAGTACCTGTATTCTGAGGTTTTGTTTGAATATGCACTTTGTGAAGGAGACGCAATTTTTCTTTGTGGTTTACGCTAGAACGCATTATTTCCAACTTGCCCTCTGAACAATAAGGACACCAACCTTCCGTATATGCTCTGCTGATGCTGCCTGCACAGCATTTAGCTTCTTGTTCAGCTCCTGCTTCACCCATTGTTCTAGGTACACGTTCTGTTTCATAGTGAATACGTATGTGGCATAGGCAGTCAGTAAAAGGAGGCTTTCCCACCAATCAATGACACTGTCTAGGAAAAACAGGATGAGCATCAGTAAGTCTACAATGTAGAATGAGATGTCTCTAAATAAGGGCCACCATGTCAGGTGGAGTATCTCCCTTGAGAAGAGGGCACAGGTGCCAATGACAAAGAGGATATTAAACACTGCTGAGCCCACAATGGTACCGATGCCCACATTGCTGTGTGAGATGAAGACACCTATGAGGGAGGTGAAGAGTTCTGGTGCTGATCCACCTGCTGCCATGAAGGTGGCTCCAGCCACATCTTCAGAGATCTGCAACTTCTCTGTGATCACTCCCAAAGCAGGGACAAAATACTCATCACACACTATGGCCAAGGCCACAAATACATACATCATGCCAAAGATGTGAAGTACAACCCACCCTTGCCTGCGTTCTTCCACACTGAATAGGTCCTGGGGGTATTCTCCTTTGGACTCGTATGGTGGCTTTTCGTCTGGGTAGCTTTCACTGACATTTTCTCGCTGTGGCGTTGTATCCACTGATGCAGTGACGGGCACAGTTGGCTCAGGATCCACATATACACAGTGCCTTATTTTGGGTGCTGCTGTGAGGTTGGCTGTTACGGCAGTCTTGTTGCTGGAGAGGTCCCTGGAGGTCACTTTGACAGGGTCCGTGGGTTGAGGTGCTGTGTGTGGTGCTGGAAGGGCAGAGGGGCTGAACTGGAGCTGATAGAGAGAGAGGACCAGCACTGTGGCAAGCAAGAAAAAGATTCGGTTCCGTCGTAGCCGCCTTCTCCGTGGTAAATGCATTTCCTAAAGGTTCAAAAATCAGAGCCGTGTCCAGAAGCCACTGAAGACCTCTCCTGATCAGCAATTTGTGCTTATATCCACCATTGGAGTTTCTAGCTGATCTTAAGCATCAGGAGTGAAACTGCATAACACAAAGTGTAGAATCCTGCAAAAGAAAATCTGGTGTAAAAAAGAAAGTACTGCAACTTTCTGCCATTTGGGTAGCATTACTTCACTGACAGCTTTTCTATTTTTCAATTAAAAAAAATGGACTTAAATGAGTAAAGGCAGATCTAGGTTCAGAATTCAGTCTTTTTTTTTTTATGACTGTAGGCTATGCTGATTAATAATCAAAAGTTTGGCTTAATAGAGAGGAGCTGGCCGAGGCAGTCCAATCTGAGCTGAATTCTGATTCTCTAATGCCCACATCCAGGAGCTATTAAGGCTTGTGTTTTTACTTCAGTTCAGTTGCTATTCTGTAATATTAACAATTGGGCCAGCGTTCTGCAGGAGGAGAGGATATGGCTTCTGTCAAGGAACCTACTTTTAGCTTGCTAGAAAAGATGACGCTCTGAAGACAAGATAATGCTGTTAAAACCTTCCTCCTAACAGACCAGTTATTCACCTAAGGCACATCAACAGGAGGATGAAAACTACTGGATAGTTCGCAGCTACGCTGCTCCATGGCTCTCCAGCCTTGCACTCCCACGGAATACGAACAAAGCAATGGTGAGCTTTTGTCTTTCCGTTTGAGAAGAGCACGAGGAAGATTTGGTTCTAGTAAAACTGAGCGTGCTGAGCATCCATTCGTTTCTATGACTACATCTTTTCAAGCCTTTCTGTAGAAATCAGAACTGGCAAAGTGGAATTGTAATCATACCTTTTATTAGGGGGTAATTAGCATATCTTGCATAATTATTTGAGCAGCATTTAGAAAGGGAGAGAAGTTGTAAATGCCAGAGTGACAGAGCCTGCAGCTGTGACAGTATGGAGGCAGTTATTTGGGGCTGGACAGAAGTTACCCTTCGGCACTGCTTGAATGTTTTACCTTAGAATATCACTCTTTGTGGATTATTTTTTTCCCCCACAGTGGGAATGTTAACGTTATTCTCGAGCTGGATGTGAATCACAGTTTTGTAAGCCATTCTCAGATAAGTTCTTCGTGCAACTTAGCACACACTTACCCTCTTGCATAACACCCAGTGAAGTAATCAGCCTAAATTTCTTGCAAGACAGGCATTATTATCTTCGTTTAAATAGTTGGGAGGATCACTAAGGCAACAGTAATAGAGGGTCATGGGAGTACCTAGATAAATAGATGATATAAGCTTTGCTTTTCATATGGAAAAAGAACACAAACATGCACATGGCAGGACTGCATAATACGTATAACAAATTGCACATTATTAGAAAATAACCCTTCCTAACAAAGATAAGAGAATAAAAAGAATGACACAGAGGGAACAGAAGATGTATGCACACATTTCTATTTAAACACTGTATTTTGCTTCTCCTCTCCAAAATAAGCTGCTTAAAAGACCTTTTGCAAGCAGAAACATATCTAAAGCTAGGATCAACTCTAAGAGCTCTCCAGCCTTTCACAATATCTGACCATCAGCCTCTTTGTTTCTCTAGTCTTGCAAGTTTAGCAGTTGTCTTGCAGGTCAGCTCCTGATCAACTCCTTTCTCACTGGTCGGACTGTCTCAGTCATAAGAGATCTGAAGCAATCAAACGAACCTCCACAGCTTACCTTCCAAAGATGTTGTCCAAGAGGAAGAGGAGTACCAAGAGTTGAGCGTAGTGCTGGAAGCTTCTTTACAGCCAGGTGGGAGATGCTCTTGCAGAGAGAGGCAGATGAAAATGATCCCATTTTCACAATGCCTCTGCTGGCGGAGTTCTAATACAAGAGAGGGTCAGGTGTGAAGGACATATTACTGGAGGAATAGCCAATCCATTTTAATACCTGCAGTCCCTAAGAAGATTAAATAGTATTGTATAGATTTGGGTCTATCTCTGAAGCCAGTATCTTTGTCTGCTGCTACAGGTTATTCTCAGTACGAGGGTGGGCGATTATCCCCATTACAAACTACCAGATGAAAGCACCAGCTGTGAGACACGTATTGTTCTCACGGCAGCTATGGAAGGGAGCAGCAGGGGTAAATCACACCGCTCCTCTGCATGGAGCAGTGGTCACTTAAACAAGACAACTTGCACGTAGCTTCATTTTGAGGCATCTCGTAGGGCTGACAGGCCAGACAAGCAGCTCTGCTGGCCTTTGCCACAATATGACTCTACTTTGCAATGCCAGAGGGAGGTTTAAAACTCGCTGTCTCCTGGAAAAAAACCTCAGCTCCTGCACCATCATCACGGAGGCAGAGGGACACTGCAGGGCCCTGTGTGCAGGCAGAGTAACCTGAGGATGGTCTCAGTAACTCTTGTACCGAGTGGCACTGGTATGGTGCAGCTCCACAGAGGAAGAAATAACAACGTTCCTGGCCAAAGATTTAATGGGCATAAAAATCCAATCAGCAGATTTATCACAGGGGAATGAGAAAATGGTGATTTGATAATTGTAAAGCAAACTGTTGTCTGAATGGACAGCTTTGCAGGGGTACATCCAAGCTTTGCAACGGAGTTTATGGAACACGTTTACAGAGCTGGGAGAAGGAGGTCCACCAGATAAACTCTTCTCTATGCATAGCAGTCTTTTTTATCGTGGCAGTACTTTTCCACAACACTGGCATCTAACTGAACTGCTTTCCCTAATGTATGCAGTATTACAGATTTCTCCTGCTTTTCCTGCCGAAGGTACCGTTTATCCCCAATGTGGGGGAAGGGCTGCCCGGGGCTGCGTGGAGCGGCAGGCGCGGGCCCGCCCCCCCCCCCCCCCCCCGCCGGCGGC